AATAGCTGATAGTAACTAAGCCCCACCCATTACCAACCCTCCCGGCTCATGGATATTAACAGCGTTTAACCTTATTGCTTAAACTCCAATTATTAGAACCATATAAATGTATGTGCATAAACTGCATATAATAGCTCTGTTAGCACTGCAAGTCTAAATTACATCATTAATCTTGTTGATGCTGCAGCTATAGCCTAGTTTAAATCAATGATGAACTTGCTATCATGGAATCCTATATCTCTTCTCCTTACTTTTATGTGGTGTCTTAATGCTATTTGCAGAATCATTCATGCATCAAGGCTGCTAATGTTACTCATTATTATATTTTTCAGGATTTTTTCATTTTCACAAGCATCATACTTGGATTTTCCAAGGGTTCATTTCTACGGAAAATATCGTGCAGATGCTTCTACACCTAATAACTATCGCTGCAACTTTGACCCCAATATTGATGATCCGTTTGAAGATGATCCTAATGGTAATTGGAACTATATTGGTACAAACGAATTCTCAATCCAAGACACTTCTGTTACAGGAGTCACAACTGATAGTGGAGTGACTGACGATGAAGTAATAGGAGCTGCAATTTTAGACAGTGGTAACCATCCTTTTGCAAAAATGGTAGACATAGACACTGAATGGCAAGGGGCTGCTAGTGTTATATATGGAATGGTGTTTAGGATAGTATGGAGCGATGGTGCAGAAGCCCTAAGAGGGAATTGGACTCCAAGCTCAATATCACAGAGCATGTGGAAGAGAATGGTTTGCACTGATGGTGGTTCATCCACTCAAGGAGCATTGTCAACTACAACTATCAATGACATTGAATGGGGAGATTTGAGGGGATCAACTGTACTTAAAAAGTTAAAGGGATTGAGCACAAAAGGGAACAACAAATTACAGTTGTCAGTCTCATTGAGTGGATATGGTAGAGAAAATAATGGCTTCACACGTGGTTTAATGACTGGAACAATTGGAGTCAGTAAAGACACTGAACCTTTAAATTATGGAGGGGAGAGGCTCTTAAGTAAAACTGAAATAAAGCACCCACCTGATATAAGCAATATACCACCTGAAGATTCATGTTCTGGGCCACTAAAAAAATGGATGAGTGATGCTCCATTTGAAGTGAATGGAGATTTGCTTTCAATAGACTTAAGCAATTCACTGCCAAGTGACTCGAATGGAAATCTACTATACATCAATCCTCTTTATGCTGGTATATTGCATGACCAGGAGCGAGTATGTATAGAGGTATTAGGGAATGAAATTCATTATTGTGGTCAGGACCACAGTGGTTCTTGCAACAGCAATGACTGGTTGAAATCAACTGGTGGAATAGTGGACATTGAACTAAATTATTTTCAAAAGGAAAAGCTACTCTCCTCTTCTTCACTGGTTTTAGCTTTAATGCAAGACAAGAGCTCAGAAACTAATGAAGTCTATCCTAACTGTTATGCATTGCCTACTTCTAAGCATAACCTAAAGTTGATGCTGAAAGAGACTAACTACTACATGCGACCAAAAGAAGAATATTCATTCTTTATTCATCCATCTGTCTCTATGTCTGTCAGTGTTCCCTTTCTTGTTTCACAATTTGGAGAACCGGTAGCTAATTTAGATGTTAAAGTTGGGAGAAAAAATAACCCTATTCCCTATGATGGTGTAAGTCCTTCTTTATGAATGTCAAAACAGATGAAAATGGAGTTGCATTGTTTACTTTCACTGCAGTAAAGGAAATGAGTTCACTTCGAGAATATAGTAAGCCTCCTTGTAAAGATAGTGCTGTAATGAAACTTCCCATTGATGGTCAAGTATATGCCTTTGATTTCTGTCCCAGTGAAGGAGAAGAGGATCAACAGTGTGCAAGTTTTTCACTTAATTCATTAGTAATTAGAGCCTTTTCTAATCCAGAATATGATCCAGACAAGACTTACACGTGGGTGGATCACATCCAACCAATATTTTCCCAATACCATCACCTATATCCTGTCATGCACGGTATACTCAATTTGAGCAATTATTACTCTGTCACTTCACCCCAAAATATTGGCCTATTAAACCTATCCATGAGCCTTGACATAAATGACGCTAGTTATATGCCTGTTACTAGGGATCTACCGGAACCTCAGCGAAAAATGATACTAAAATGGTTGGAGAATCCAGTAAAGCAATTAGAGGAGATAAATGCTCGTATGGATGATACTAGTGAAGTTTTACCTGAGTTACAATGTGATGAACCAAACCACATAGCAGCTATAAGTATGTTTGAGGATTATGCTAAACTGCCTACATGCCAGGCTCGTGCAATTCCTTTCAATATTAAGGATTATTGTGAAAAATTTGTTGATCAGTATTATTTTGCAACGCTACAAATTCCAAAAAGTTACCGTGGGTTAAAGAATAAAAATTGTCCAGAAGATAAGCGCCCTCTTTATAAATACAAGAAAAATTCTCAGGATCCCGAAATACAGAAAAAGTGTACTGATGAAAATCTGTGGGAGCAGTTACAAATTGGCTTAAAATTGGAACTGGCAACTATACCACTCTATATGACTTCTCTATACTCTATTGGTGATGGATGCAATACTCAAGTATATAAAACTATTCGTGGGATCCTCATGCAAGAGATGCTCCACTTGGCTCTTGTGGGCAACATTATAAATGCAATGAATGGAGGCCATCCTATTATTGATAGTCCTGATGTTGCACCTAAATATCCAAGTGTAGGACTTCCTGGCTGTGTACATCCATCTCTTAAAGTTCATTTAGAAAAAGTTTCAAGAAAACACATATACACCGTACCATTGGTGCTTGAGAAGCCAAAATTATCTTGTGTCACTGAGGGTAGGAACAGAAATATCTTAGGACTGCTACTACACAATACAATAGGAGAGTTTTATACCGAAATAGAGCAGTGCATGCAAAAATTTGAAGAGAATGGAGAAGAAGTTTTTCAACCCAACAATTTTCAAGTCTCATGGCCTTGGACGCCTTTCTAAAGAACTAGGTACTCTCATTGAAGTTAAAGATACTCAAACTGCATTAGATGCAATCAAAGAGATAAAAGAGCAAGGAGAAGGTGCTAGTCCAATAGATCCCACAGTAAGTGATGGGGATCAGTTAGGACATTATTATCAATTGATGGAAATTGTCTGCCAAAAGAAACTAGTAAAGAATGAGGATGACAAGTATTATTCATACAGTGGAGCTGACATTCCTTTTGACTCTAAAGGTGTGTGGCCAATGAGAGACGATCCGAGCAAAGAAGGCACAACTGGGAACTGCTACACAGAAGCAAGAGCATTCCACACAGCCTATCGCAATCTATTAAGAGAGTTACATGCAACCTTTGGTGGTGAGCCTGAAAGGATAGCTTCTGCAGTAACAATTATGGAGTCTCTTCTTGTTCATGGCAAACGTGTCATGAGGGTTCCGTTGACTCCAGAGAGTGAGGAAACGTGTGGACCAGTCTGGGATTATGAATGGGAAGAAAAACAAAATTAAATGGAGCAAGTAGTACTAACTTCTGCTGAATGCTAGATTTACTTTGAAAATTTTTAGGCCTTTTAATAGTTAACAATTTTTGGCTTTATACTTTTAGTTTTGTTATTATCATTATGATTAGATGTAAAGACGTATTTGCATGATTTTGTTTTTTGGCCGAATTTTGAATGCTCAAGTGCTCATAAATTTCAGACAGTATAAGGGCAACATTGTGCATCAATATAATTTTTCTAACTTTTTTATTTTTTGGGCCAAAATGAAAATGACCATTTTATGCATAATTTAATTTAATTTGTCTTATTTACTTTGGCCATACCTAAATAAATGCCAAGTATTATAGTTAAAATGGTTTTGGTATGAAAGATTATAAATGTCATTTCCAGTGCATATTGATGCTTTCATTACATGCAGAAATAATCTGACAAGTAAGGACGGGATTAGTTGATTAGTCTAGTCACATCAAATGTGCTCAATTGTGTTGCCTTACATTGATTAATTATTAATACATTTAATTTAAACAAACAAATTATGAGTATTTTTAACTTAAAATGCTGCTGTTCAATATATCTTACAATTCATGAGGTCCACAAGTGCAATGACAATCTCTTTGATATTCAGCTCTTGAGCACAATTCAGTATTAGCAATTATCTCACAAAACGATGATTGTGTACAAGCTATCAGGTAAAAGAGACTTCATAAATCAAACTTCAACTTATTCTGTCATTATTTGAGTATAATGTTATGATGCTTGCACTACTCAAGACATGCCATTACATTTAAGCATATAACTTACGACATTCTTGTTCAAAGCAGTACCTAAATACAGGAGGACGTTTAGTCAAGCATTGTGTGTCATCCAATACAATATTGTCATAAGTTGTTTGACATGTGATTCTACGAACTTGATAACCAGCTCCACAAGACTTTGAGCACTATTAAAATTGCAAAAATTAGATCTAGTATATTATGTACTTTTTCATGGATGTTTGCAATAATTGCATAAATAAATCACATCAGTGTGAAGTTTAGAACTTACTGATGACCAAGATTCCACAATCCATTGTGTGCATGGCCCTCTTTTATGGCATAGCTCAATGCTTGAAGGTGGAGGAGAAGAACAACTGTCCACAATCATGCGAGTGGATGCAGTCATGCAAGTGACTGTTCTATTCCTTACACCACGATGACAGTCAGGAAAACACTACAAAATTTGAACAAGTATTAATATTACAACTTATATCCAGTGCATAGATTATAAAAATTGAAAGCATAATGTAAGCCTGTGTGTGGTAACAGATACTCACTCTGCTCCATGGAGAAGTTAACCAAACTTTCTCTTGTGGTGGTTTATCTAGAATTATAAGTTTAGATTAAAAAATAATAATTATGCTAAAAGTATTATGCTATTATAATTCCTTCTCAAACTTACTTATTGTCGGAGAAGGGCTTTGTACTGTAAAAATAATTATAACAAAGTTTAATATTCCGATAATGTAATTTCTCTTACTTAAAGTAGTAGAAGTAGCTCTAAAAGTGGCTGATAAAGTGCTTGCTAAAAACAATACAGATGAGTGCATTATTACGTTGCATAGCTTTAAAACTAAAAAGAAAAATCTTACTTGGTTCAATGAAATGACTCCTCTCTCCTTCATAGATGATTCCATTAACATTAAATGATGTAGATATAGAGAACAAGTAGTTCAGACTAGGATCTAATCCTCCTATTAGACCTTCAGTAGTGTCACCTGGAAATACTCTCATTCCTGTCTCTACTTGTCTCTTCTTTCTTGAGGAGCTACTGGTTGACTCAAAATAGACAGTATAATGACTAGCTCTATGAACTAAACTCCAGTCAGCCCTCACTGCTGTAGAATTGAACTTTGTTATAGTGAAGGTTTCAATGACAGCTGAGAAATTTTGAACATTATCATCATAGTATTCTGAATAATTTCTTACGTATTTCAATAGTAGAGTACTCTCTATTAGTCCATTCTCCTGGTCCAATACTAGTATATGCTCTCACTCCAATAGTATAACTAGTATTAGGTATCAATCCTACTATAATGTAATGAGTGTTAGTAGTGTTAGTTATATTGTATGGACCAGTACTGGTAGACTCTCTATATCTTATCTCATATACTGTAATGATACCATTAGGTATTGTAGGAGGATTCCATACAATATTTATTGCATCTGGGTTTTTTGCATGTCTTAGATCAGTTATCACACCAGGAACTGTGTTAAGATCATGTTAAACTGATCAATATCTCATTAACTTACATGATTTAGAAGTTAATTGTATTTCTTGCCTAGCTGGTCCATTCATATTATAATTATAAGGTATTATACTCACAGTATAGTTAGTATATGGTATTAATCCTGTGAGATTATATATTCTGTTGTCTCCTTTAGTGATATTAACAGTATAACTAGTGTTTGAAGTGATGTTAGTGTATGTGAGGTAGTATCCAGTGATTGGTCCATTCCTTCCATTGCAAGGTACTTCATCCCATGAGACAGTCATTGACACTGACTCTACTGATGAGAATATAATATCATCCACTGGTGCAGTAGGGGCTACAGAGAAAAATAATAATTATTTATTATTCTTGTATCGGCAAAGTGTATTATTACCAGTTAAAAGTGTAGTAGCTAAATAATTAGTAGTCAAATAAGCTATATCAGCTCCATATACTCCAATAAGATCAAAGCCACATTGACTGTAAGGAGGTGTACCAGTTGAAGTATGTGGTGAAGAAACTGATGTTTCATTATTACTAGTGACTGATGATTCACATACTCTCCTACATCTCCTATTAATATTATAACTAATTGGTACAACAGCAGTTGGTGGACTCCATGTTAATGTAATGGCAGAAATTGTAGTTAGTGCAACCATAAAGTCATTGACCACTGGATCACCTAAAAGAATACATTCGTTAATACAGGTAATTTTAATTGTATTCAATTTACTTACTAATTGTTAACATAACTGAAGCATTACCACTAGGTAGAGAAGCTGATCCATAAGATACTACATAGAAAGTGTATGTAATCCCTCGAATTAATTCTGATGTTATATTGGTTGTTGTTGAAGCAGTATTGCCTACACTAACAGGAGTAATACTAGACAATTGATAGTAGACCTCATAACCAGTAGCTCCTGATACAGTAGACCAGGAGAGTCTTACATGAGATAAACCAGTACTTAATCTTGTAGCAGTTAAACCAGTTGGAGTATCAGATACTGAAAATAAACTAATAATGACATTTATAGTAATGAATCATCACTAACCTGATACAATCAAAGATGAAATGCTAGTAACTGCAATAACACCATTAATGGGAGCATTAGTTACTCTGGTATTAGATACAGTACACTGATAGTTACCAGCTTCACTTAAGTTTGCTACTGTCACTCTTGTAACAGATTCCGGTCCATTAACTATCTTACGAGACAATTCAGTAGATATTCCAGTCCCATTCACTGAACAATTGACAGTAGTAGGAGGACCATCAGAGACGTTGAAACTGAGACTGAAGACTGGAGTAGTAGCTAATCTACTAGTGGAGAGGAGAGAGAACTGCATAGTAGGATCAGCATCAGGGCCATCTGTAAAAGAATTACATTAATTATAGTCCATATTCATCACATACCATTGTTATTGTATCCAGTATCAGTATATGCTCCAACCACTAGTGTTTGATTTACTCCATTCTCATCAGGAATGATACACTTGTATAAACCTTCATATCCTGATAGTCCACCATTTCTAGCTAGTGCAATCTGACCACTGATTCTCATACTGAACACTGGACTAGGAGCTGATGAATTAGTGAAGTTTCCATCAAATATAGGTACTTTAGCTCCATTAGGATAATACCACACTCCAATACTAGCACTACTGTTAGCACTCTGACACCACAAAGCATCAATGATATCATTAACATCATTATTCTGATCAGCATCATAAAACTGGCTAGCATATATCATAGAATAATCAGGTATTATCCTGTCCTCATAAGGTAAATACAGCTGAACACCTTTACAAGAGTAAATAAGATAGCAGCTGTCAAATTTTGAGTATATTGGGATATCCCATACAGAAATACTAAGGTTGCGCGTCACAACCTCACAAGATTGTAGCAATTAACCTTGTAATATATAAAATGAAACTGCTCGCAATTAAATTGTAAAAAAACATAACCTTTTAAAATGGTTGTCTGAAGGCTGTGTCCCTCTATAATTTAAGTACTTACAAGTCAATCAAGGCATTACATGCATTTAAATTTTACATCCCTATACAGTATACATTACATTTATTAGATACATTACACATTTATGGTTCAAACTTTATATGATTACAATTATAATGTGTTCAGATTGTATAATATCTGATAGATTCCTAATGGTATGGTCTAAATGAATAGATTTAGACCACACCATTAGGAATTTATTTTGTATTTTGCTATTTGGCATAGATATGTATCACATAGAACAAACAACCTGACATAGTGACATAGTATAATTATGAGCATAAGGTATATTATAGGTACATTCAACACATATAAATCTACTCATTCTCTTACCTCTACTGGGTAAGAGAGAAGAAGATGGATCTTGTGCAGCTACAAAGAACAGTTGAACTAGTTGGAACAAAAGAAAACAAGAAGTATGGAGTTCCATAACCAACTGACAGAATCATGTGACAAACTGTTATCAGGTGTTGACACAAGACATTCATAGTGACATCATAGCATTAACAAAACTAAAAGTGTAAGAATAATTGTCCAACTTTGAAACTCCTAAATGCTGTACTTGTGCTGCCTATATGACTTTTAATGCAGCTCTCAAAGATTACATCTGTCTTAGATTTTGGCAAGTGCTCCTTGTTAGCAAATTTTTAAATTGTTCAAAAGTCATATAGGCAGCACAAGTACAGCACAAATTACTGGATTATTTACAAAAATCAATAAATCTAGTAAAACTCTCAATTTTATATCTTATGTTGTGTAAACTTTGAATGGATCCCAATCAAAATTAAAATTAAAATAAATTTAAAGCTGCTTAAAATTTGGGCCAAAAACCATTATAAGCCCATGGCTTTCCAAAAATCGGCTCCAAAAATGCCCCAAATTTTTACTATATTTTCTAATACATAATGATGTCCTTATGCTATGTAGAAAGTTTGACCCCCTTTAGACTTCAATTTTTGAGCTATGACAATATTTTTTTAAAACTCCAAATTTCTGAAAAATACTCTGTACCCATAAAAAGTACTCTGTATGCATGGTTTTTCTAAAATTGGCTATAAAATCATGTCAAATTTTTATTAAATTTTCTGATATATATTGATGTCCTTATGCTACGTAGAAAGTTTAAGCGGATTCCGACTTCAATTTTTTGAGTTATGACCATTTTTTTAAAACTCCAAATTCCTGAAAAATTTCCTGTACTATAGCCCATGGTTTTTTAAAAAAATTGACTCCAAAATCACCCCAAATTTTTATTACATTTACTGATATATATTGATCTCCTTATGCTACGTAGAAAGTTTAAGCGGATTCCGACTTCAATTTTTTGAATTATGACCATTTTTTTAAAACTCCAAATTCCTGAAAAATTCCCTGTATTATAGCCCATGGTTTTTCCAAAAAATTGGCTCCAAAATTACCCCAAATTTTTATTACATTTTCTGATATATATTGATGTCTTTATGCTATGTAAAAAGTTTGAGCCAATTCTGACTTTAACTTTTTGAGTTATGACCAAATTTTAGACGATAAACGAAACACGTTTACTATTAGTGTTTAAAACTGGACTAATTTTTTGCAATAACGTCTGCTATAATCATTTTAATTATACAACTCTTGCAGACACCTGTGCATGTGTTTCCACAATCATACATGCTGACAAAACACACTGTCACTATATTATCTTTTATTGTGAGCTTGAGATTACCACATGCAATAGTAAGTAAAGTATCAATGCCCATTGTCGTGCTGAATCAAATAACACTAGCTCTAGCTGCTGGATTAACATATGACTTCAATTAAAATAATAACATCAAAATGAATAAACATAAATACATTAGATTGGTGGTATCAATTACAATTATTTTTGAACAAAGCTAATCAATCAATATACTACATATATTTTACAAAACTAAGAGCAAATGTTATAAACAAAACATATCACTACAAAGTTGAGTAATCTTTGATTCTCTTTTTCTGCTTGCAAGATATAACTACAATAATGACAATAATGCTACTTATAATTACCAAGACTGTCAATAATAGGCAAAGAACACTAGCTATATTCCATTCTTCTGGTGTCACTACTACAGTTGCATTTCTTTCTGAGAGCTCATAAGTCGTGTCAACAAATAAATTAAATGAACTATCAAAGAAGTTTCCCATATTCACTGTACAATTGGCATCCCCCTGCACTGCATTAGGTGATAAACATGATTGAAGCTCTTCCATTTTTTTCTCAGAATATTTTGTCACTCTTCCGGAGATTGTTAGATTGGAAAAAAAGCTTACTGTGATACAGCAAAGAGTGTAATAAAATCCTTTGTCCTCGAGTTCAAAATCGTGCTTGAAGTTAAAAAAATAATTTTGGTCACGATTCATGGCATCACTTGTATTGAGGCAAGGCGAATAAGCATAAGCTACTTCAGCAATACTTTGTTGATCTCCATAATAATTAGTTTTTACCCAGTAGTTGTAGTAGTAGCTCTCATTAAAGAGATATAATATCAATGGGCAAGGGGACTCATCAATCTCACTAGCATTCACTAATTGAATATCATAAGAGAGGGTACCATGACCAGCAGTATATAGTGGATAATGTTCACTTTGCTTTTCACCATAGTAATTTGCATTGAAACAATAGTTTTTCAAATATTTATAAAAACTTTGGGTGCGATGGTAAGTTTTACTTTCCAAATTGTACACTTCAGTTGAAGGTTGGTCTGTACATAGTCCTTTATAAACTGTTATATTGAGTGAGCTTTGGACTGTAATACTTATCGACTTAATCCAATCGGGATTTATACACTGACCTGGAAAGAGTTGGACAATCGAGTTGGCACCAATTTGATGAGACGAGTTTGCCTGAATATTTGTTAGTTGATGGAAATATGTACCAGTAAAGAACAAACCAAATCCGATTAACAGACACAAGCAAATTAAGAAAAATAATGCGATGAATACAGAGTGTATGATTATACGGCGGATGTTAAAATTAAAACCGCAACCTAATAAAAAATCAAACTTAATATAAAAGGTAGCAACAGAAGTTAGAATCATTACTGATGCAAGAAGAAGATTAAGAAACTAACCTTTATTTTTATAATGTACCGGTACATTGCTTCCATTTATTACATTAGAAGAGACTGTTCCTCGTAGACTAGACCCATAGCTGCTAGATCTAGATAGCTGGATTTCAACTTGAAGCTGACAAATTAGACTCTCTGACACTAGAAAATTTTAAATGACCATGGTACTGTATAGCAAAAAATTTTCAAGAGCTATAAATTTCATGAATTTGCCTAAAAATCTATTTTGTGAATTTAATTTTCACGAATTTATACTGTCTGCCATCTTGTGCCCTAATAACTTGATTTTTGCGGAAGTAGTTTTTGTGAATCTTCAAAAAATTGCAAAATCCACAAAATTTACAGCCCTTGACAGTTTTGCGCTATACGGTATATTAGATCTATGCATGTATAAGCTGGACACATACTATTATTGGGTAGTTGGGATTGAGTCCAGTCCGGCTCATCAATACCTTGCCTTGTACAAAACTCTCTGAGGACTTTTATGTACTGAGTCGACCCATCGGTAGATGTGATGTGGTGGAACAAGAGAAAAAGAGATGTTAAGTCATTAGGATCTAGCAAGCCCCTGTCTGCTAGCAGTTCCAAAAGGACAGCACGAGAAGTTATGTTGTCAACATGATAGTTGACAAGAAAAGATTGGACGCACTGGTTTCTGAATTTCTGGTATCTCTCATTGCTTAATTTGTCTAGCATTACAGCTACTGTCAGAAAAAGGTCAAGTTGTGGGTTATCAAGGATGAAATCTTTCTCGTGCTTGCGGTTGATGTGCGGGTCAATTTTTGCCAGTTTTGACTTGGAGACATTTAGCTTCAATAATATCTGGTAAATCAATAAGTCGGCTCCATGAGGTAGTGCCTGTTTCATGAGGTCATAGAGAGCAATGAATGTGGTGACGGTCTCTAATGTCTGGCGTGATATACCAAGGAAGACGTAACAAGCTATCTTTATGCAGTGGAACTGATGGTTGCTAAGTCCGGGTCCAAGCTCACACAGTCCGCTCTTAAAACGGTCCATTGCTCTCTTCCAGGAGTAGATAATGGTGTAATTATGTCTATGGTTTGCCTACAAAGCAGATTCCAGAGTGACTTAATAATTATTAATGGGTTGATTTTAGATCTAGACCACGCCCATTCTAGTCTCTAATTTAATCTTCTTGAAGACTTGAATCTCTTAATCATGGCATTGGCATCCACTAGTTCTTTGTCCCAGGGCCAGAACAATGATTCGTCAAGTAAGGAAGTTTGTGTGTTTTTTATTTGAGGTTTTTTGCCATAATTTCACAGGCATAATAGTCATAATAAATGTTACTAAGGAAACAAGCTATGATGGACAAGTGTTACTAAAGGAAATTACTTGCATAGTAAATAGCAAACCGACAATACATACTGCAACACCACTGGAAGTTAATTTATCTATATCTACCGGTGGGTTAACTTTAAGAACATACACTTGCAATAGTCAGGTGGGGCCTTGTGACACTTGCAATATGCCAAATGATACGGAAGTTACAGTTGTCCCAGTCTTTATACAAGGTGGCGATTATTCTTCTGAAATTATAAGTTTCATTCAAACTCATCTAAATGAGTCGAATGATGACTCGAATCCTCCTAAAAATTTTAAAGTGTAAGATTTTTATCATTATGTATATACCACATTACCACTTCACTTTCTCCTTTTACAGGTATTTAGATAATTCAAGCATTAGTTGTGAGTTTTTGAAAGAAGTCATTATAAAGCCAATGAAAAAACTAGAAAATCCAGGACAGAGTGAGCATTGATAATATTTATTATCATCACTACTGTATCACTTATCTCTCCCTAGATTGAGATATTGACTTTGGCTACACAAACTTTAGAGTATTTATCATACATGTGTGTGTAGTGAGTATTATGAACCAATGTCTATTAATTTTTCTACTCTACATAGTTTTAATACTTAACATAGTTTTTATATAATCCTGTTAGAAGACGTAGTGTTAACTTGTGCATGTATTGTGAGGACTATTGACACTTTTGTTATATCAAGATTTATCATAAAAGGAGATTAGAGCAGTAGCATAGCTAGATATTAACCCTAATGATTATTTCTTCCTCACTCCTATTCAAGGAAAAATATTAATTGCTAGATAACTTAATTTGTGAATTAATAATCAAAATTATGACTAAGAAAATTTAAAATACATGATTATACGATTAAGAGTAATCCACTATACTCAACATAATGTAACATCATCATATGCAATCTAAAATTAATTCTAAAAGCTATAAAATTACATCAACACTTTTTTATTTAAAGCACACCAAATTTATAAGCACTTTAAGGCATAATTTCGTACACATCAGCATCTTGCTCTTCATTTGTCTCTCCTTGATTGGGACTAGAAACTAATATAGGGTGATTATAAAAACACATTAAGTGGGTGTGAATATAAAAATGAATTTACTTGGAACAGTAATAGTATCATATACAGGACACTTGGCTATTGATATTATGTTATCACCACTGTCTCCTACAATTGGAGTATCTTCTTCTTTTTGCTGCACTATTCTATCATCTATTGGTTCATATATATAATCATCAATCTTCTCATACAAGTCTTCATTATTTCTATTGAAAATGCCATATACAAACTTTTAATAGAGTAGTAGATAGTTCTTACTGTGTTGTAGAAGTATTAGTAACTAAACCATATACTGGATTAGGTGCTACACTGAGTTCAATGTCTTTACTATTATAACATAGATACAATGTATCATAAATAAGTTGAGATAACTCTAGACCTATTTTATTTTCTTACCTTATGTCAAATTTTTTTGAATTTTTTCTATACAATACAACAATAGTGATAGACATGAGTACCAACACCACAAAAAAAATTAATATTAATGATGTTGACACTATTACCGTTAGTAAAGGAACACTACCATTATCAGTGCTACTGTTATTTGTAGGTGCCACTACCAATAGACCATTTTTAGATAAAAATAAAGTACATGTAGCTCTAGAACTAACTTGTTATGGAAGTGTGAAAAGCTGGTCCTTTAATCAATCCTACATCACTCAATAGCAATACACTAATACTCACAGTATAAGCTAACTGTGGTTCAGTATCAGTTATATTAACTGATGTGGTATCATAAGCTACTGATATAGCTCTTGTATTAGTTTGTCTTAATGTACTGCTAGTGCTATCATCATCAGGAGTTAATTTGATACTGTATACAAAGAATCCTTTAGCTTCTTCTAGTGTCACTGGGTCCCATGATAACACTATTGTATCTCCTATTCTCATTGCTTGTACATTAGAAAGTGATACTGTAACACTACCTGCACATAAAATAACATTAAGTTATTCATTCATCTACATTTAAAATAGTTTACTGTCAGCTTTAGTGAAGACAATAGCAGTTGCTGGGTTTCCTTCACCAACTTGATTGACTGCTACAACTGACACATAATAAGGTATCCTTTCCTCTGTAAAATACATGCATGATCAATATCTACTGCTATTAGATACTAACTTAATCCTTCAAATATTAGAGAATATGATGCTTTTCCAGGCACAAATGAGACATTATTAGGACTATCAATGGCATCAGTAGCTATTCCAAAAATAAATTCAGTGATTTCTCCATTAGAATGAGATGGTGGACTCCATGTTATATTGATAGTAGTTTCATTAAGAACTGGTACAGTATAAGCTACTGTTAAACTATTAATGACAACTGGAGACAATACCAGATGAGGTGAACTAGGAACTGTGTATTGTATTTTAATAAATGTATCATAATAATATGCTTACTGTCTGGTAGTGTTCTTCCTGCAGTAGTAGCCACTGGTCCAGCTCCAATGATTGTACTAGCACTAACACTAGCAGTGTAATTCTGATATGGACTGAAACCATCAACATTATAGTCTATAAATCTTTGGTTAGGATTCACTTCAATAATGAAGGACATTGATTTTGATTCATCAAGATTAGTTACTGTTAAGTCATAATTAATAATAATTCCATTAGTACTGGTTGGTTCCATCCATGAAAATAAGACAGAAGTTTGATCCGGAATGGAAGTAAAATTTTGGGGAGAGTTGTATGGCACTACAACAAATAACTCATAAAGTACTTTACAAAATATTGTGCTTACCACTTTGAGCTGTTTCAAAAGTACACTGGGTAGAACTGGGTCCTTCTCCTACTACATTAATAAATGACAGCTCACAAGTGTAACCAGTAAAAGGCATAACATCAGTAATAGTGAACATTGTGTTTGTTGAAGATCGCGTTGGGCTCAATCCATTGACTGATACACCATTAGTATTCATACATGTTAAATTATAACCAACTGGTGCTCCATTTTGATTCATTAGTGGTGGTGCAGTCCAGGTAAGTGTAACATTATATGGTAGAAATGTTACATTAGTACAATTCATTGGAGGAGCAACTGGCACTGTAATTTTTAAAATGAGTAAAATTACTGACAAATTATCAATTTTCACTCACATGCTGGAAGTGTTCTGAAGCTCATCTCTACAGTACTAGTGGTACCAAGACAATTGGTAGAATCAACTGTATATGTATAAGTGTTATCTTCCTCAAGGCCAGTCAACATGATTGTAAATTCTTGGTTAATTGCAGTGATGTCATAAGAGCTCATTCTTATGCTAGAAGTTGCTTGTGTTGTTTGTAAGATTGCTCCAGTATACTTAACACTGTAGGCTTCAGGTGTATAGGCAATGTTAGGTATTATGAATGATATAGCAGCAGTAGTTGTTCCTGGAGTAGCTGTTACATTAGTAGCAGGAACTGGTAGGCTCTGAGCTAAAGAAGAAAGAGATTGAGGTGAGAAGAGAGAAATCTAACATCTATATACTTACATGTTATAGTCACAGTAATTCCCTCACTAGTAGTGACAATATCAGTTGAATCAGGTACAGTAATACTAGCAGTACATCTATAAGTACCAGAATCAGAAGCAGTACTGGAGTCAAAACTCAATGTATTAGTAACAGTGGTAGTCATATTTCCTCCAGTAGTAGTCACAGTACCACTTTCTATTGTACCATTATGTGTCCATGCTATTACCAGGTTTGGTATTACTATGGTTGGTTTAGTGGCTGTACAGGTAAGAGTGAAGTTATCATATGGGTCTGAATCAGGACATGATGTTTCTAGACCCAAAAATGAATTGGGCGAGGCAAATAAACCCCCAACAATAGGATCTAGAAAATTACAAGTAAAATAATGGTTAGGTATGCACAAAAAATATCAATTGGTCTCAACATAACTACATTTTAAAGCTTACCAGTAACAGTGAAGTGAATGTTTGTGTAATTGGTATCAGAAGTCATTACATATTCATAAGCTGAAGCTGGTACTATAGTAACAATACATGTATATGTTCCTGAATCCTCAATACTGCTCAATGTAGTGAAATTAAGTGTTGATCTATACTCATTAAAACCTGATCTCATCATAACAGAGCTGATATTAACACGATCTGTATCAGCAAGCATTGAACTGGAATTAATTTCACCTCCAAAATTACTATTACTCATGATCTGTTGATCAGTCATGTTCCAGGTTACATTAACAGTGAATGGTGTATCAACATTAGGATCAACACTGATATCACATGTTAATATCAGGTTACTGCCAGCTAATAAGTTAGATTCTTTTGATTGGCTTACATGAAGGTAAATAAATGGAATTGTAACTAAAATGATTTATAACAGAAACTATGATGGTAAAGTTCCAAATGATTGATGTGATCTTACTTTTTAATCGTAAATTCCAAGATTCATTATTCCTTGCTACCATGGACATCTGACTAACATTAATAGATGCTTCACAAGTATACAGGCCAGCATCAGAAGTATTGAGAGAAGAGAAGTTCAAATAAAGAGAACTCATTACATTAGATACAGTCATAAGAACTGGAGGTACACTAATAACATTGTTAGCTGATCTCTTAGTCCATGTTATCACTGGTGAGACTATGAGTCCATCAACAACTGTCACTGTACAATTTAACATGTATTCTTCACCAGGTTCAGCAATACCCATAGACACTATCTGTACTACTGGCACTGGAGTAGCTGTAATGAGAAGAGAGAGGGAAGGAAAATTAAGAAGGGATTTAAACAAAGCAAAAGTGGCATTAGAATTACTTACCAATAACTGGAATGGAAGTGCTAGCATTAGTTGATGTATTCCTGAGATACTTATAACTATAAGGAGCATTCACTTCAACATTACAAGTATACATTCCACTATCATCAGCATTATCCAATGGATAGAACATTAATGTTGCATTATAATGTAATGAATTGATCATATTGAGACCCTCAGTAATAGTAGCATCAGATGAACCCATAGGAACATTAGTACCATCACGTGTCCATTGATTAGTGACAGTCACTGGTATAGAAACTAATGGATTCAACATTATGTCACATTTAATGAAGAATGGTGTCCCTGCATATAATGTATCGTTATGTTCCTTTGATATAGTAACAATCACTGGTGGAACTGTAAGAAGATAACAAAATCAGTATAAATTTAAAATCAATCATCATATAAAACTTATGATTAAATCTGTAATGTACTTTTTCAATTTAAACACTTGAGTAGAACACAGTATAATAGTTGACTTACTATCGAAGATCAAAATAAAGTTGCCATTAGCCTCTTGATAATCATAAGTAGCAGTGCTAGGATCATTGGTATTATTAAAACCAGTTACATTAAACTCAGCTATACATGTATACATTCCAGCATCATCAAACCTCACTGGATCCAGTATTAGAGTATAGTTAGTAACTGAACCAGTATCATCTGTTGTGATACTGTATGGTCTATTTAAGTTAGAGAGCATTTCCATATCTGTATCATTCATTTTAATGAAAGTAATCATTGGTGTTACTACTAATCTCTCAACTGTTGTTATGGTACATGTTATAGTTAGACTCTGACCAAATTCAACTG